TCATTGTTGTTTGGCGGGCCCGGGCTGGGGATTTGAACCCGCCACCTTAGGTGTATGTGGCTGGCACCTTAGCTGCTTGAGCCACAGGCACCGAGCCAAGAGACCTCATTTCTAAAAATAGCCAGGTGCTATGGTGGGTGCCCGTAGTCCCAACTGCTGAGGCAAGAGGATCACTTGAGCCCAAGAGTTTGAGGTTGCTGTGAGCTATGATGCCATAGCACTCTACCTAGGGCAACAAAGACTCTGTCTCAAAAGAAAAAGATCGAAGCCAGAATTCCTACATTTTTGCAAGAACAGCTTCTCTGGAGAGTTGTAACAACAGACTTTGTGTGTGAGAGAAATAGAACGTTTCTGTTAAGCCGCATAAACTATCCTGATTAATACATTAATTTTAAGGTATACTTCTCCTGTTAGCATCTTTCTTATTATAACTTGTATTTGAATGGGACCAACTGGCTATGGAAGTATGCAGATGGAGGGGTCAGGGGAGGCACCCTACACCCTTTACTCTGGTTGTGATATCAAATGTTCTCTCCACAAAAATATGTTACTTACTTTGCCCTGAAATCACATCATCCTCACTCTTCTGTTTGGGCATTCCATGTCTGTGAGGCTTAGAGCAAAGCTTTCTGTGATAGTAACTGTTGCTAGCTGGTAATCAATGCCTCTTTCTTCTATCAACCCTGCACTTCACTCAGAAAGCTTCTTCTTTTGAAGGCAAGGTCAAGATCATAGGAAATGTTGGCAGCATACGTCCCTCCTCTGGCTGTCTTTTTCTGTTCTACATTCTGTATATACTGGGTCTGCACAAAGCTATTCCATAGGTCCTGATCATGACCTTGTTTTATTCCAGGTTGAAGGTTTTTTTTTTTCTTTCTTTTCTTTATTTTTTCTCCTCTTTCCATTGGCAATACTTTTCATCATTTTCAGTAAAAATACCTTTATTCTATCAACTTGAAGTAGTTTTTGCTTCTTAAGATCTGCTCTTCTGATTCAAATACAGTTAAGACTTTTCTTGTTCTCCAGCTTTAATTTTCCATGATTTTTTTTTTTTTTAATTTTCCATGATTCTTAACAAAATCAAGTATATGCCTTCTGGAAAGAAGAAATTAGTCGAAAAAATAGATAACAGGGAGATCAATCCAAAAGCCATGTAAGTTCCAGACTCTGTAGAACAACCCTTCACCAGTGAATAAAGTGCTATGGGGGTCATTAAAACAGTACAAGGAATTATATAAACTGAGGGATTTATGAATAGGTGGATTGATAGATATTAGTAACTATTAGACACAGTTACATGTCAGTGCAGGATACACTGAACTAGAGAGGGCAGAGAATGGAAGTGGTGTCTAATTAACTGCACAGACGGCTCCAGTGTTGTTCCCACATAAACCCTGCTGAAGGAGCAGCTGGTGGATGTACGGGCATCAAGGTGTCAGAGGCCCTCGGACAGCAGAAAGCCTTGACTTGAAAGGAGGAGATGGACAAACGGCCTCCCGGCCTCACTAACCCCACTTTGATGGTCATATTACTCACGTTCTTATCTCCTGATCTTTGCTTTCCCTAATGTTCACGGCAGAAGATAATACCTCCATAACACTCCTCCCCTTCCTATGGAATTGAAGGACACATCGGATTTTCAGTTAAAATGTATCACGAGTTCCTCCTAAGGGATGGGCACATTAGATATGGGAATCCCTGCAGACTAGGCGGAAACACAAATTATTTTCCAAGACTAGCAGTGGAAAGTTGGTTTCTGCAGCTGAGAAGCCAGATGAACACCCATTTTTTTTAGTGAAGATGTAAAGAATCACATTCCCAAGCTACTAAAGACCTTTCTGAACTCAGGGCTATCTCGAAGAAGCCACTTTCTTTTAATGTAAAATATACTCAGGAATCTATTTCCTACAGTTATTTAATATGCTCTGTAAGAGGTCGGCACCTGTAGCTCAGTGGTTAGGGTGCTGGCCACATACACCAGGGCTGGTTGGTTTGACCCCGGGCCAGGCCTGTTAAAAAACAATGACAACTACAACAAAAAAATAGCTGGGCATTGTGGTGGATGCCTGTAGTCCCAGCTACTTGGGAGGCTGAGGTAAGAGAATCACTTAAGCCCAACAGTTTGAGGTTGCTGTGAGCTGTGATACCACAGCATTCTACTGAGGGGCTACGTAATGAAACTCTGTCTCAAAAAAAAAAAAAAAAAAAAAAAAGTTCAAGAATTTTAAACACTACTTTTAAAATAGGAGCCTGCACCTGTCGTCCCAGCTACTTGGGAGGCTGAGGCAAGAGAATCACTTAAGCCCAAGAGTTTAAGGTTGCTGTGAGCTGTGACGCCACAGCACTCTACCCAGGGCAACATAGTGAGACTCTGTCTCAAAAAATAAAATAAGAGCCTGAGATTCTTCTTTTGGATACCATAAAACAGAATATTATAATGCTAAGTGCTGCCATTGAAACAGTAAGAGGTTTCATTATTTTCTTTCTCAATACTCCATATAGATAACTATTGTCCTTTGACAAAGGAGGAAATTGAGATAAAGAAAGATTAAGTCCTTAGTCCCAAATCATACAGTTAGCATATGGGGAAGTCTGAATGGATTCCAACATGTTCTGACTCCAAAGCTGGGCCTTTAGCTGCCCAGGCAATGGGGCCTCACAGTCAGACAGCCTTGCACAATTAAAGAGGGCCTAGGTATGTAGAAGGAATGTGGAATGATTACAGCTACTACTATGCAGACAAGAATTACTCAACGATAATGGTCACATGCATTTTTTGTACACTACAGATGGGAGTTAAGGTCACTTCTTAGCCTTTTAGTAATTGACACTAAAGAAAATTCCTTTTGGCAGTGCTCCTAGCTCAGTGAGTAGGGCACCAGCCATATATACCAAGCTGACGGATACAAACCCAGCCCAGGGCAGCTAAACAATGACAACTGTAACAGAAAATAGCCGGGCGTTGTGGTGGGCACCTGTAGTCCTAGCTACTTGGGAGGCCGAGACAAGAGAATGGTTAAGCTCGAGAGTTTGAGGTTGCTGTGAGCTGTGATGCCACAGCACTCTACCCAGGGGGCAACATAGTGAGACTCTGTCCCAAAAACAAACAAAAAAAGAGACAGAATCTCATTCCGTCACCTTGGGTAGAGTGCCATGGTGTCATAGCTCACAGCAACCTTAAACTCTTGGGCTCAACTGATCCTTTTGCCTCAGCCTCCCAAGTAGCTGGGACTATAGGTGCCCACCACTATGCCCAGCTATTTTTAGGGACAGGGTCTCACTCTGGCTTAGGCTGGTCTTAAACCTGTGAGCTCAGGCAATCTACCTGTCTCGGCCTCCCAAGTGCTAGGATGATAGGTGTGAGCCATTGTGCCCGGCCCCTAAAGAAAATTCTTGACCAACAATTTTTTTTTTAAAAACCTTTATGTATGTTTTTCAACTATGACTGTTCCAATGTTTGAAGTCACATTGTGAAACATAAGACATCTGTTAATCCACACCATGTTTAATACCATGGTATTAGAACCTAGCATGGAGAGATTTCATATGATATACCAGATACATCGTTTTCAATGTCATCTTCTCTATCTTCTCATGAAGGCCACTTTTCTGGGAAGCAGCCAAGAACACAGCCACCACAAGAGCATCTGGTACTTAGAGCCTCGGTATCTGGGGAAATGCATCAGACTTGTGTTATATGTAGCTCCCTCCTTCCAGCTGCTTGCGCAATCTTCCTGCAAAGGAAGCCTGGAATCATCAATCTATAGTCAGAAAGTCAGGGAGGAATAAAGGGCACCTCAGAGAAGAGGAAAAGAGAGAAGAAACAGGTGGCAGGAGAAAAAAAGTGGAAAAGACAGAAGAAGAGGTGACGTCTGTAGCAATTTCACAAGCCTGGCCTACATTCATCTCTGGGGTTCATGATGCTGGTTGGGATTTGCCTGTAGAAGCACAGCGGCATAGTGGAAACAGAGCCACGTACCAACATCTCTTTCTTCCCTTTCAGAAAGTCAGCTTGGAATACAAAAGAGGCAGAGACCAAATGTGGTACTTGTTCATCTTGTATTACCCAGAAAAACCAGCTGACCAGCCCTGGCAGCACTACACCCGTGGCAGAGATGTATGTAACAGGAGATCAGAAGCCACCAAATCACATTCATTTTTCCTTTCCTGGGTGACCATGTGCCCTTTGCAACCTTCTTATTACAATTAGACTCTTCCTGTAATAGTTTTAGCTGAAGCCACCATCATCATAGTAGTGCAATAATTTCAACATCACAAATAACAATAGTAACAGTAATTACATATATTTGACATGGAAGAATATACCATTTTTTTGAAAGGCTAAGTTCTATGTTTTTCAGCAAAATTAAGATACAGTAGAACTTCTGGAAGTTGACCACCCATAAAACAGTCAACACACAGAGGAGTCAACATAAGGAACTAGGCCTATTATACTGATACATACATGGGGTGAATGACCAGGTCTATGGAAATTCGGTCAACTTAATGAGGTGGTCAGTGTAGGGAAGTGGTCAGCTGTGGAGGGTCTACTGAATTTTAACTTTTAGAGAAAAAGATATTCTCCATTCTCATTCAATTGATAATCAAAATTTTTGCCTTTTTCACCCTACTTCAACATATCTGTTACCCCATGTACTCAGACCATGCTGTCTAATTAACCTTATAAGCAGCGATCTTTAACTCATAGGATTAGTGGAATGAAAAAGGATTCTGTGTTCAGACTTCTCTGGATTCTAATACAAACTTTTGCTTAGAAAATCACGCAATTGTAACTTCTCTGAGTTTGAGTTTCCCCGATCTGAACAGCTTTCAATAAAATGCGGTGCCACCCCAAAAGTGACACAAGTAGAGACCCAGGTCCCATTACTTAACTGCGCAGGGACCATGTGATCAATAGAGAAGAGGGGTATTTTTTATGTTTGCTTGAAATGAAAAGACAGCCTTCCTTTTCTTAAATACCAAAGGACTAATCACCAGCCCATCTTTACATGAACCAAGATTACTGTTTCTGTTCTTCTCTTTCAGGGTTTTACTGCCTTTGGGCAGCATGAACCAAAAAGTCCATAAAGCACATTTCATGTTTTTAGGAACTCTGATTCCCTAGAGGAAAATGTCAAATTTAAGGAAGAGTAGGAAATGGAGGATAAAGTACAAATCTAAATTATTCAGGCTGATGCTGATCTCCATTTCCAAGGATGATCAGAAGTACAGTGAGCCAGACATAATTTTTGCAACTAACTGGTAAGATAATGGGACTTAAAACTCTGAGTTTGTCTCCTTACCTGGAGTGTGAAGGTCAAGTACAGCTTGTCTGCCTCCCCTCCCCCTCCTATCTCTCTGTCTCTCTCTCTTTCTTTCTTTCTCTCTCTCTCTCACACACAGGACTAAGTGCTGTCTGCCTCCGTTGCTATATTCTCACACCCAAAGGTCAATCACATAATGTGCCAGTGAGGTCCACAGAGGAGGTCCCACATCTCTGTGACCCCAAGTCTGCTCTGTCTGCTAAAAAGTAATTGCACACAGGAAAGAAACAAAAGCATCCCGAGCCACAGGTGGGTGATATCTCTGTGGCTGCTAAAATAACCAGAGAAAATAGGTAGCCGAAGACAGCTAAATCAAGGCATGCTAAATATATATATGTGTGTGTGTGTGTGTGTGTGATTTTAAAAAACGAAACAAAACTGTAATGTCAGCTTCCTAAGGAAAAGGGGTTTATCACAAGTCTATACTTCTCTGCTCTATTTTGCTCTGAAAATGCTTTCATTCATTCATTCATTCATTCACTGTGCTAAGCACTCAGTGCTTTCACGGTGCACAGTAGTTGGACCCACGCTTACTCAGTAAAGCATTTCTCCTCCATTGCCTGTACTTTAGCTGTATTCGTGGTTGGATGTAGGAACCCTCTTTTGGGAAACTGCATGTTTTCTGGGCCTTTCCTCCCTGGTTGGGCCTCCTCTTCTCTTATTAGGTTGCTAAAGAGACTGAGCCACCAGGCTGAACCATTCTACAGCCAGCTTCTTCCTCCCAAGTCCCCACAGAGATCCAAAACAGTTAAACATTAGGCACAGTCGGCTGTAAACTGTTTTCCGCCCCTTATTAATTTACTTTACTCTACCCTGGGTAGAGTGCTGTGACATCATCATAGCTCACAGCAACCTCAGACTCGCTCCATCCTCTTGCCTTAGCCTCCCCAGTAGCTGGGACTACAGGTGTCCACCACAATGCCCACCATTTTTTTTGTTTGTTTGTTTTTAGTAGAGATGGAGTCTGGTCTCAAACTTCTGAGATCAGGCAATCCACCCACCTCGGCCTTCTGCAATGCTAGGATTATAGGCATGAGCCACCGCGCCCAGCCATTTTAACCAAACCTCCTCCCCCCTTTAAACTGAAGCTCACTTTGCTTTTGTTCACGGTCATTAATGAATGAGCTATGGAAGGAGGAATATTCCTACCTGGTCTCTCAGCCTCTCTTGGTGACCCATGATTGCTGAGGCATGGTGGGGATATTTCTGCTTTAGATGCTCCAGGAACGCTTCTCTCTTCCTATCCATCTCAGATGTTTGCATTCCCAGTATTTCTTTGGAACTTCGCGGCCCTCCTAGGGTGTGTCTCCTGGGGATATTTCGGGAAGTCTTGGAAACTGAAACACGATTGTTTCCATTAGAAAGCCTTTCCTTGGTCCTGCGGCATTCCGCATCTTCTAATGATGTGACATGCAGATTGCTTTTTCCTTGTTCTGAAAGACAAAAAGAAGAGAAAATGTGGTTCACAATTAATAATTTCACACTAGAAACCTCATTTACAGAACACCAGCAGGGTTTGTGGCAGTTGTTAATGTACAAATGTAACATAGCAAATTTTCGTCTTTTTTTTTTTTTTTTTTTTTGTGGCAAGGGAGGAAAATTCACAATTAAAAGAAATGTGAAAATAGCATACTTTAGAAATAAAGACATTGCAGCAAAAACTCGGTTATTTCTGAGGTTATTCAAAACAAAAATACTTGGTGGAACTTGTTGTATGCAAGCAATTGGGTTATTTACCCCTTACCTCCATTTGTAAGTGTACAAGAGTATAACTTCAGTGATTCTGATCATTTCTGTATTTTAAACAGTTTTATCCTGTTATTTGTTATTTTCTTTTTATTGCAGATTAATATGAGGGTACAATTGGGTTATACTTTTGGCATTTGTCAGGTAGAGTCCCTCTTGTAGTTGGGTCTCCCACCCAGGAGGTGTGCCATACACCCTTACCTTGTGCCCATTAAGTGGGCACATCCCCCTCCCTCCTCCCGTCTCTTCCCTCCCTCCTCCTCTCTACCCCCAACTTGAATTGAATTGAGCTTTTCTCTTAGGTGGGTGTGTATGAGATCATCTACTGGCTTCCTATTAGGATTGAGTACATTGGATACTTGTTTTTCCATTCTTGTGATACTTTACTAAGAAGAATTGTTTCAACTCCAGGATTTTATGGTTTCTGAAACATTTGTTTCATCACCAGGAACAAAAACAGCTATCACCCTATACATAAGTCCTATAATCGCTGACACATGTGAACCACTTGAAGAGTCTATTTCCCCCTACTGCATAAGCCAAGCAAGCATAAAAGTATTAAAAATATCATTACAGGTCATAATGATACAAAGCAAAGGCTGAGACACATATTCCTTGAAATGGACTTTACTCCAAACCCCTGATGAAAGGGAAGAGCCATGCTGCGTTTTGATAGCCTTGACCTAAAACATTCGGCTTCTGACACAGCTTTTAAGGAATAAGTTGGTTTCTGCTAAGAACAGATTCACTAAGACATGCAATGTCAATGCTTAGTGTACAGGACATGGAGAAGGATCTCTGTTCATCCCCAGTGTTTGGGAAACAGGATGTCAGGTGTGAATATTCCATTAACTGAGGAAAGAGAGAGATTAAAAACTCAGATTAGGGTGAGAAAGTAAAGAGCCTTCAGTTCAGGAGCTGGACAGGTTCTCTCTTCATGAAGCTGAATTCTCTTTGCAGAGAACAGTTCTTTTTTTTGAGACAGAGTCTCACTTTGTTACCCTCGGTGGAGTATTGTGGAGTCATATCTCATAGGAACCTCAAACTCTTGGGCTCAAGTGATTCCCTTGCATCAGCCTCCCAAGTAGCTGGGACTACAGATACCCACCTCAATGCCTGGCTATTTTTAGAGATGAGGTCTCTCTTTGGCTCAGGCTGGTCTTGAAGCTATGAGCTCAGGTAGTCCACGCAACTCGACTTCCCAGAGTGCTAGGATTATAGGCATGAGTCACCGCACCCAGCCTCAGAGAACAGTTCTTATCACACGGTATTACAGGTGCAGACAGAATAACATGTCCTTGGCTCAGCACCCGTAGGTCAGAGGGTAGGGCGCCAGCCACATACACTGGAGCTGGTGGGTTTGAACCCAGCCTGGGCCTGCCAAACAATGATGACTACTGCCAAAAAAAAAAAAAGCCAGGCATAGTGGTAGGCGCCTGTAGTCCTAGCTACTTGGGAGACTGAGGCAAGAGAATCACTTGAACCCAAGAGTTGGAAGTTGCTGTGAGCTGTGATGCCATAGCACTCTACCCAGAGCAACAGAGTGAGACTCTGTCTCAAAAAAAAAAGAAAAAGAATAGTGTGTCCTTGTCCATTGCATTCCCTGGCAAAATAACTAGGTTGGGGCTCAAGGTCCTTGACTTTAATCCTTGACATAGAATAAACAATTTAACCTCTCTCAGCCTCATTTTCTTCATTAATAAAATGAGGATGATTAGACTACCATGAGTTATATAGAATCTTCCACCTTCATTAAATCTATTCTAAACTGAAAAAAAAAAAGAAAAAAGTAAGCTTCCAGTAAAAGCTTATTGGCAATCATTTACCTTTAAAAGTTAAGTGCAAGGCCAGGCACAGTGGCTCACCCCTACAACCCTAGCTCTTTGTGAGGCTGACACAAGAGGCTGGCTTGAGGTCAGGAGTTCAAGACCAGCCTGAGCAAAAGTTAAAACCCCATCTCTACTAAAAATAAAAAATAAATTAGGTGTGTGTTATGGTGCATGCTTGTAGTCCCAGCTACTCAGGAAGGAGGGATCGCTTGAACCCAGGGGTCTGAGGTTACAGTGAGCTATGATGATGCCATGGCACTCTACCCAGGATGACAGAGTGAGACTCTGTCTCTAAATAAACAAATAAATAATAAAATTGTTTTTAAAGTGCAGAAAAATAGATTCACTATTTGAGAAATCTGCTCATTTGAATCTGAGAGAACCAAACCTTCACATCAGAGATATGAAGTAATAGTTCTCTAAAGTTTAGGGACAAATCAGTTTCCTAAAAGCAATGCCACTGATATTGTTTCTTTTTTCTTTGCTTACAAAGGTCTGTGGACAGAATTCTAGTATAGACACACCCTTTAGCTAGGCATAGAAAATATTTTAATCCCAGACTTGTTTCCCTGTTCCAGGCTTCTACCCCTTGATGTGTGTTCTGGGAATAATTCTTCTTGTTTACCCTTCACTTCTCATTACATTGCTAATTATAGCATCTCCATCAAACACTGATAGGAAAGGGAAGGAAAAACAGCCAAATTAGTTAATTTTTTTACTTTTCATTAATTTCAGAGGCATGGTTAGAAGAAGAAGAAGATGGAATCGTTGGTTTAAATGATATTGAAGAATTAACTATAGTTTTATTATTTAGGTTACCCTTGTAATACTCAGATTCACAGCACAGCTACAATTTTTTATGGTCTCTTCCCTAATAACATGGAAGAACCAGGTGCTGTTGAACAATGCCAGATGCAGAAAATGCCGTATCTCAGCCCAGTAAATATGTATGGAATCTGAAGAAGCTTACCTTTACATTTTGAGTGTGTTATAGTTGTGCAAGCCTAGGCCAAAATTTTAAGATTACTTTTGACGTTATTTTTTGGCCAGGCATTGTGGTTCACTCCTATAATCCTAGCACTCTGGAGGCCAAGGTGGGAGGATCACTTAAACTCAGGAGTTTGAGACCAGCCTGAGCAAAAGAGAGGCCCTGTCTCCACTAAAAATAGAAAAAATTAGCTGGGCATTGGGGCAGGTACCTGTAGTCCCATCTATTCTCAGGAAGCTGAGGCAGGAGGATTGCTTGAATCCAGGAGTATGAGGTTGCTGTGAGTTAGACTGATGCCATGGCATGCTAGCTGGGGAACGGAGCAAGACAATGTCTCCAAAAAAAGAACAATATATTTCTTAAATTATCCAGGACAGCTAGATTAATTAACAGCATTGAGTCTTCAGAAAGGTGATTTCTTTTTTCTTTTCTTTTTTTTTTTTTTTTGAGACAGAGCCTCAAGCTGTTGCCCTAGGTAGAGTGCAGTGGCATCACAGCTCACAGCAACCTCCAACTCCTGGGCTTAAGAGATTCTCTTGCCTCAACCTCCCAAGTAGCTGGGACTACAGGCGCCTGCCACAAAACCCAGCTAAGTTTTTGGTTGTAGTTGTCATTGTTTGGCAGGCCCGGGCTTGATTCGAACCTGCCAGCTCTGGTGTATGTGGCTGGTGCCTTAGCCACTTGAGCTACAGGCGCCAAGCGGAAAGGTGATTTCTTTACATAGTCATAACACAGGTCCATCCACATACAACCACAGGAGCAAATGTTCGTGCACATCCAATCCCAACAACACAGCAGGAAGTCACCTCCTGCCTTCAGCAGAGGTTCACGTGACGTATTCTGTTTCATCCGAGCATTATCAGAAGTCAAGACAGCCACAACAGTAATCACTCAGAGGCTGTGAAGAGTTTCCATTTTCTTCTTTAAAATAAACTGGGAACAGAGAGGAAAGGGGAGAGTCTTGGAGGACATAGTCCGTCAATGTCCACCTTTGAGTGACCTCAACTTACTGGACTCTCTGAACCCCCAGCACTTTTCACCAGGAAGGTGATGTCAGCCTTGCATTCCTGTCTCGTTTTCTCTCTCTTGTGGATTTTTTTTGAAATTTTTGCAATTGCTTAACAAGGTTTGATAAAATTTGGAGGAAAGGAGCAAATAGCACCAGTGGTTCATGTGGCTGGAAGGTCCCAGGTGTAGTCCCTGGGCAGACAGCTGGAACCTTCAGAGCTGTCCCCTTCCTTTCCCGTGGCCTTCCTGCCTTGTGCCTCCTGCCCAACTCTCTAACACCCCATCTGCCTCCTGCCCTACCTCTGGCTCCTGCTCCACTGTCACCAGCACCCAGAACAACCCAACCCTGCTCCCCACATGAAGCCACTCTACACACATTCATCATCTCAGCCTTCTCTCAACAAGGCTCAGATCCGGGATCCTGCCGGCTCCCACACCTGAGAAGGAAGTCGCAACTCTACAGCTCCACCAATTTGGGGAGAATGTGGTTTTTCAGCAGAGGAGAAAAACTAAGTAGGGTGACATACAAACAAGAGGGCAAGCCAGTAAAGGACATTTAGCTCCAATTCCACAGCCATGGAGTCAGAAATCCGAGGCCTGCCAATTCCACATCATCCACGTGAATAGAGAAAAGCTCAAGTGTGGATTTCTCCAGCCATCCAAACACAATTCCATTTCTTGTTTGGAATGCATTTTGGTGCTAACATGTAAATATGGGTGTGTCTAGCTGTTTACTATTCTGGGAATCCCTGTCAAACCAAATAATGAAGCCACAGTGTGACAGCAAGGCTTAGGCTTACTGAAAGGCAGGCCTGTTTGTCCTTCCTGCCCCTCCCGGCCTCTGCAGAGCCCAGAGCAACTC